CCGCCACAATTTAAGTCTTCGTATTTTTAGCCGACACTGGGCAGCTTGTACATAATTGAATAAATAAATAAAATTTATTCAATATCGTTCATTTTTATTTTCTATGCAACGGTACGTAAACTGGACTTGTATTTAGTTACCTAAAATATTTTAAGCCTCATCAAATTTATGCCAGACGAAATTAATTTTTTTCCTTTTTAATTGTGTTCAGGTAATATGCATATTTAGATCATATGTTAACAAGAAAAACCAATTTCAGACTTTTAACAGACAGTCAACCTTATCCACAATCATCCGCCATTTTCACGCACTGCTACTAACTCAGATCTCTTCACTCAACAAGGTATAGAAGTTGAATTAAACATATGTCTTTTGGACGATAACTAAGAACAATAAATATATACAATTGCAATTACTAAAATTGGTTTTCCTTGCCGCAAGGAACCTCTCGACATCACACTCAGCCCCATTATCAATCAGTTAGAGATTTTCAGTATTCTGGTATTTTTTTTTATAAGTGAATAACTAAATGTCGTGGCACTGATTCGTAAGTTAGAAATCAAATGCGTAAGTAACAACAAAGTTTACACGAATTACAAGAAAGATGTTATTATTTTGCGATATTCGCAAATCACTTTAGAAAAAAAATTAAACATTTTCTCCTCTTTAGTTCACTTTTTGGTTATATATTTGCATAATATTTATATGAACTGACTGCAGTTTGATGAATATCATTGTAGATCTAGCTAGGTTATTAAGGCTTGTTTGTTTATGTTTTAGGCATAAAGCTGATGTATCCGTCCCGGAGATCGAACCTGGAATTCCAGTGTTATATGCACTTAAGTTTACCGCTGAGCCACCAGAGGATAGTTTTTTTTGAACTCGTCTAAACATCATTGGTTTCCTAAGCAATTTGTTTGTTTGTTCTAGTCCAGAAATTACGTCAGGCTTCTATAGAACGTTATCGGATTATTTAATCATTGGTTTTCTGAATCTTAAACCACACTCAAATATTCTAAACACACACTTTTTATAGAAATATTTGATCTTCATGAACGCCAGCTTCTAAAACTATAAGCTACTATCTCTATTCAGTCGTGAAAAAGTATAAAACTAAGCTAAAATTACTTAATAAAACAATCCAATGGGGAGATGAATAAAACTCACCCTTTGAAGCTGACCATAAAGTTCAAATATCTATATAAAGCGCGCGTGTTTAAAACATTTTGGAACGTTTTAAGACTCAAAAAGCCAATAGAGATGGCAAAACTGAAACTAACTTCTGGTATGTGATGCTTAAGCTTGGAAAGCGAAGAGGCATGATAACTGTGATGTATTATAACATGTTAAGTTTTGTAAATAAAGAATAGGTCTGAAATATCATTTTTACTATCCATTAGTTTGAAATCCAGAATAAACTAACTAACAAGAAACAGTGGTTAAAGTACGTAGTTCATGTTCAGTTCCATCATTTGTATTATATTAAAAATTCGTCTTGTTCTGCCAACTGAGGCTAGTTACTTCTCATATTGAATTACCACTCAGTTCCAACCTAGCTGATAATTATATTATTGAAGAACGACACTCCGAACAGTGGCTTGTAGCAGAAAGAAAATGGATCTTGTCTACTATTTTGACCCATCTCGAGTTTAAGATCTGAAATGAACTCATATATACAATGAAACATATACGTTGTTCTTACAGATGATTAACCACACTTTATAAGAAGGTTATTACCGATCCAATGCTACTCTTGGAACTATTTCCTTCATTAACAGTTGTGCATGGCCATGATTACGCATTATTATGCATCACCACAAGTTTCATTGTTACAAGCTTCTTCAAAGGACAGCGAGGTCAAACTTAGATCACAAATCTTGATAAACTTATAACATTGTACAATGTCTTCAAACACCACAGTTAAGCAAAGCAAATATACTGAAGTCCATGTGTTCATAATCAGGTATGTCGGAGAAAGAGATAGTAGTTTTATTCTCTTTTTTCATAGAAATGAGGCTTTGAAGTAAGACGTAAAGTTTAATGTTTTATCCTCAAAGCTTATTTCGAATAAGGCGCTCGACTCACAATCTGAGGGTCGCGGTTCGAATCCGCCATACCACCAAACATGCTCGCCTTTCAGCCGTGGGGCGTTATAATGTGACGGTACT